AATATTATAAGATTTGAATAAAATGCAGTTTACGAAAAATAGTATAAGCAAATACACGTTCAACAAAAAAATATTTTAATTGCCAAAAACATATCTGGCTTCATATAATTTAATATCAATCTGTCCATGTAACATTTTCGGGCATGAAGTGCCAAAATAATTCAGATTTTTTGGTCATTGCAACTGTAGGGACCTAATATTATATAACTCACGAGTCAATTATAAATTCGCTCAACCCGACCCGCATACTTTAATCCATGTTGACAAGTTGTCTCAAATCGACCCAACCCGACCGATACTTGATTAAGTTGGGTTGGGTTGGGTTTAGGTTGAGGTAAAAACTGACTCAACACAACCCATGCTCACCTCTAATTATTAATGGTGCTAGAAGGGGCAGTCCAACCATTCATTGCGCTAAACCAAATAAGCTCATCTATCGATTTCAAGAAAACTCTCGTTCTAACTTTTCAATAGGCGTAGTTAATGGCATCAAAATATGGCGATGACAGACAATGAACTACTCATCTAGAAAACTAAGGTTAGAAATCAAATTTGAGTTCTGATACCACTTGAAAGTCACGCAAGTTCGACCATAACAACACCTAGAGAGGCGAATAATTGTAATACGAAATTAAAAATATTATCAATTAATATTGCGACAATTCATGATAACTAATTAATCTAGATCGAGTTCACATGAATTAACTACCCTATGTTGAATTGTCAATTTGTATGAAATCAATAACATAAAGAACACAAATAATTGATGATGGAGAAAACCCTTAACTAGGTAGAAAACTCCTGGACCAAGCCGTAGCATCCACTATAGACAATATGAACTTACAGTAAGATCCAATCTAGAATTCTCATTAGAATACCTGACATAAATCCTGCAATTTTCAAGACCCACTAGACATTGCTTCCCCGCACCAGATCCCGATCTTTTGGATCTTCTTATGGATTAAACAAGAACTCCTCGTTCTTGTAATATTCCTAGACTCCTGGTACACCTTCCCGAATCTCCAGAACATCTGAAAGCTATTTCGGAAGTAATTGTTTCGATATGAAATGTTAATATTTTCTCAAAAACCCCGTGGTTGATTTATCTCAAAAATCAAATGATTAATCTCAATGTTTATATATGTTCTAGGATCATGTAATGATGTTATGAAAGTGTATTATAATGATCAACCACACACTGGACGAAATAGAGGTTGGGTATTTATAGTTTGGAGAGTTTAGGGTTATTTAGGATTAGAAAACAGATTAAACTAGCGAACTAGGTTTTTGCCGGATAACGCTGCCGTTCAAGCTAGAAGCGAGCGGTCAGCGAGTGATAGTCTGTCGCTCGAGTGAGAGGCAAGTGACAATCAAACGACAACTTTCTGTTGATTTTGTAATGTGGCCGCTCGAGCGAGACTTGGATGGTAGGCTAGCCAAAGTGTGATGCCAATTTTCCTCGTTCCATAATTGATCTCCAAGACTCCCTATCCATCTAAACAACTAACCAATTAATTTCTTTGACTTTTACAATTTTTTTAATAATAATCCTTTTGTCTAAAGAATAACCAATACAAGTTAAAACCTAGCACATTCTGTTTTCAATATTTGGTTAAATCAATGAGTATTAATGAGCTGATTATGCATATACCATTATATTTACCAATTTTCAATATTGTATTCTTTTCTTTTGTCGTATCAGGTTGGAAAGGGAGACAACTACGTTTTGAGGTTCTTGTAATTCGTATTGCACAAGTAATGTTGTGTGATAATAACCTTTATTTGTTGGATAAAACTGTTCTACCAGGCATGTAAAAAGCCTGATAGAGCAGTTGCTCTCACATGAGGTAGGTCTTCAAGATCCACTTCATTAAAAAATTACCCCCCAAATGTTAATCACCCACCCCCCCAAGACGCATTGGCTCTGCCAGATCTTTTACCAATCTGGCAGAACAGCACGGTTCTTATTTGTTTTAATTATGATGAGTGATTAGGTGTTGATTTGTACGAAGAATAAAAAAATGACTATGTGGTTTGACATGGTGTCTAAATGGGATAATGACTATGATAACTAACCAATTTTTGTAATGCGGTATTGGATGGTTTAAATGATGATATATA